CACACACGCACGCAATCATGCACGCACGCAGGCGCACACACGAAAACACACACACACAAAATATATAATATATTCACAAATGTTTCGCCGTTATCAGATAAGGGTAGGTGTCAATCTTACCCACAATAAGATAAGGGGTGTGGACGAAAGACAGCAGTAAGGAGACACGGAGTAGCAACAGAATGGCAGCAGAAAGAGTCAGGAGCCCAGAGAAGGGGGCACAGGGGAGAAGGGAAGGGGGAGGGGGCAGAAAGTGGAGACGAAAGCAGACGACAGAATTTAATAAGAGAGCAGTGTTGCGGAAGCCCGCACTACACCACAAGTTAAAACGACATAATAAATGATAAACGAAAACTCTTACCGTGGTTTTTGAGTATTTAATTTCAATAAATGTAGTACATTGTATGTTTCCTGCAGTGAGTCGACCAAGGCTTTGTCCCCTACTCTCTCTTGTCCGATTGTCCCTCGATTGTCCCTGTTGTCCAGCAGAAAGCCGTGACTGGCTGATTATATACACTTTCCTGAACTCTTCTACGCATGATTCCCTCCCTGCACGAGATATCCGTGTCACTCCGCACGGGAACCCGCGCCCCGAGGAAATCTCGTTACTTGTGTCCACAACAAGCAGGAAAGGAAGTGAAAGGAGAAAATTTTAGTTTTAGAGAAGAAAATGTTCCGTCGCTTTCCGGATTCGAACCCAGGACCTATTGAATGAGAGGCAAACACCACCATAACCTCTAGACCACGAGAGCACCGCGCAACCTTAGGCTAATCAGATGGCTTCATCAATCAGTTCAGATTGGGCAAGAGAAAAAACATATGTGAGGCAGCGTGGTGGAATCAGGCTCTCGTCAAAATAATCAAAGTGAAGAAACTTGCATTTTTCGGCAGGTTTGTGAATTTTTATCAAATTTTTGTTTTTTGGTTCAACACCTTTCATGCTCATTAAAGAATTCATTTCTGTGTGGATTTCTCTGAAAAACGGTGATTAAAGGCACAGAACATGTAAATTTTCAGTTACCATGGACTCTTAAGCTAAGGACATAACTAATCTTTAGCGGCTATTTTCTCACTACTTTTACCTCTGAAAACGGGTGACCCCCACCTCCTTCATTTGCAAATATCTCGACTTGTATTCAAGATAAAAGGATACCTTTTCATCCAAATAAAGACAAGTGAACAAGCTTTAAGATGATACCAATAACCACACATGCCCAAAAATTGACGAGAGCCTGATTCCACCACGCTGCCTCACAAATACATTTTTTAAAAATATTTTTTTTCTATCACGTCGTCATTCAATTTTACTTTTTATTTTTAACCTCTCTACAGCCAGGAGGCGTGGCCTGGTGGCTAGACTCCGCCTTCACAATATTTTTCGTCTCCTCATTGGGTATTGTTGTGTGGAGAGGCATGTGGGGCGTGATTGACATCCTCTTAGTCCCGGACACGCCCTTTCTCAGCGCCCTCTGGAGTCTGGTCATTTCCTACGGCCTGGTCATGAATCTACTGGCCTTACAGGTGAGCAGCTTACTTAATGTGTTTTTGACTTAGTACGTGTTTTACGGCACTTGCAACACATAATTATGTCATATAGTTGTTTGTTTTTGTAAAGTGTTTACGGCGCTCGCAACTGCATAAGGTCATATGAGCGCGCGGGACACTCCTAATATTTTCAGTTGGTAGGAAATTTTGAATTTTGCCCGGGTGGCGGCC